TTTCTCAGAATAATTCTTCTCTTTTTGCAAATCTTGAAGTTTGTTAAATAACTTCTTATTCGCATCAACCTAAATCTTCAATTCTACATCACATTTTGTTCTTACTTTATTCAAAATTTTCTCAAATTCACATGTCTTATCAGATAAAATCTTTTCAGAATTTTCTCTCAAGATTTTATTCTCACTTTCTTATCTAAGAAACATATAGTTAAAAACAAAGAAGATTAAGAACAAGAAAGAAGAGAGTAAGAAGAAGATGGCATTGTAGAAAAGATAGATCTTTTTAGGTTTTTATACCCATTGCATTTAATGCAAGTAAGAGGGTACAAGCCACGTGGCAAACTTCTATAGAAGAGTTTGTCATTTGTTTTAAGACATGCAGGACTTTAGCCGTATATGAACAGTTGACCTTCACAAAGTTGGTAAGCACATTTGGAGACAATAAAGTAACTATGTATCTGTACCTTTCTGTGAGAGGTATGGGGTTTTACTTTTTGTGCATAAAGGATAGGACAAAAAATAATCTTGTAGAGAAATATTCATTTGATTGTTGACACTGATTCATCTTGAAAGGTTCTTCAGTGCTTGTTAAGTCTTGGTCAGATTTCGCACTTTGATTTAGATGTTTTGTTATCATTGAATCCACTTCAGATCACAGATTGTTATGTGTCTATCTTCAGCTACTTCTTTGACATCGCTGAAGGTTCCTTTGGTGTGAATTTTGTCTTCGAGGAATATTTGTTTCTTTGAAACGTTTATAGCACATGTTCAATGATTACTAAACAAACTCATAGATGATCGTTGAAGTTGAACAAAAATTACAACTAATTTCCACTAAGTATGTAGGGTCATCATCAAATCACCGAGAGACTTTGAATCAACACCTCTCCTCTTCCAGCATCTGTCATCTTCCTTTCCATTGGTGGCAACGCTTCATAAAATATTGAATTAGTAATTGTGCAGAGATACCATGTTGAAGGAAACATACACATAGGTGCTTAAAGCTCTCTAATACTCATAGAGTAACTTCATGTCCTTCTACTTGATCCCACAAATCTCTCTCCTAAGCCCGATGACCTTAGATGCAGGAAATAACTTTTTTTTAAAGCTCTCGCCATTTGTGCCCAAGTAGTGATGGATCCCAATCATAGATTGATGTTGATGATAGATAGAAAACTCAATCCTTAGCAGTATCACCTAGGGAGAATGGAAATGCCTTCAGCTTGAGGTTCTCCACGGTTATGCCTTGTGGCTTGATCCACAAGCACATCATGGGGAATTTAGTCATGTGCTTGTATAGGTCTTCATTATTTAAACCATGAAAACGAGATAATAAATGTATTAATTTGCTCTTAAGTTCAAAACTTACTTGTTCGGTCATATATGCTCCTTTATTTGCCAATTCCTCTTCTTCCTTTTCTTCCACTTCTTTTGGTCTCAGTAACCGATGTTGGTTCTTCTTTTTCAGGACGAGGCATCTCTTCTTCTATATGCAAATCCTCTGTCTTGCTATCTGAAGCTTAGCTAAATCAATGTTTTCCCAGATATTGATGCCCGACAATGAATATGATGCGCCTTGCCTTTTTAGAAGCTTATCTAAGTTTTGAATCATCTTTGTGGTCCTCTCAATTTTTGGATCAATCGGATAGATCTTGGCATAAATAGTTAAATCTTCCAAGTACCTAACAAAGACACCAAAAATTTGAGAGCTATCGAGTTTCACAAATAATAATATAATATAAAGAATATTATCACCTCTAAACACAACAAACTGTGATAGTGATAAGTAGGGTCGTTTCCTCAAGGACTTGATGTCAACTATAGGTCCAAGATGATGTCATATGCAGGTATTTTAAAACAATAAATAAAGGGGGTGGATGATTAATAATTACCCTAGACATGAAAAAACAAATCAAGAACTTTAAACAATAAAATGAAGATTTCTAGTAGTAAGTAGATATACTTTTCATTGGATGGGGCATCATTTACTTGTACATAAAATATATTTCATGCCAACTCAAAATGGCTCAAACATTGGAACACATCAATATTCCGTTTGTTATAAAAGATAGACTAGCACGAGAAGCTCAATATGTAGTCTTTAACTAGCTAATTGAAACTAATTAAGAACTTGGCAACAAGTGTTAGATGCATTAAAATTAAGGAAATGCCATTTCTAGCTAATATTCGAATGCCAAGAATGAAGACTAGAAAATGCAAACTTGCAACACTAAACCATCAACTAAACCGTTATTGACATATTGGTTGCTACTATAAGGAAATAAAGAACAATTATGGATTCTCTGTTTCATTTAGAAAATCAAAATCAAGTTGAACAAAAGAGGGATCCTTCCAAAATTGAAATTAGACAAAGACTAAACATTTAAATTGAAGTTTGCATAAATGAGTTGATAATGAACTTGAAATCAAACAAGTCCTTATACCTTCCAATTCAAAGAAATGATTGCTTACCACTAGAAAATATAAAATTAGATACTCCTATATATCGTCTAGAAACATACAATTTGTTTGAAATGAAGAAATTGATGAATTACCCTAGAAATTGTCTACAAAATCGTGCTCCCAAATTTGAAAATCGCATCTGAGACTCGCTCTCAATTTCTCGAACAATTCTCGAGTCACAATTCTCTGATTTCTTATCGAAACCCCCCAACAACGATTATCGGTCACCATATATACCTCCTTTAGAAAACCACTTGAATTAACCCAAAAACCCATGATCTTAGGTCTTGAGTGACTTGGACGCGGGCTAAATCCACTGGAAAAGTCGCCAGGATGGTTTTGGAGTTGAACATAGTGGCGAACACGACTTGGGGGGCCAGTTCACTTGTCGAAAAAAATCTCGTCATGGTATATATAGCCCCGGGCTTGTCTTCTTGTCTACTATGACAGCAGATAGGACCAAAATGGTGTTGCTCCCGTCTATGTGATACTTTCAACGAAATAAAAAATCATGTTGATTTGGAATTTTGACTTGGTTTATATTATTTTCTACAACAAACTAGCAGGTTTGATTTGACAATGTTAGGCTTTACTTTGGTTTCGATTTTGGTTCCCCTATAAGGATGGTTTTCCGTTGTGGTTTTGATGGCTTAAGTGTAGGGGTGGCTGACCACAACAAATGCATTCCTTACCAAAATAACCATCCATAATTATCAATTTACATTTTTAACTCTATTTTTATAAAAATTTAACAAAATAACCATGGACTACTCACTAAACACCGTTGGTGCTTAGGCCTCTTCTATAATTAATAAAAGTTATGATTTCCTATTTAAATATATATATCTATACTATCTTATAATGCATTTGACTAAAACTCTTAATCTCTTAAACTCTTAAACTCTTAAAAACAACTTCTATTGCTTAAGTTACAACCTACTAAAGCATATCTATCATAAATCCCCCTTTCTAAACCCAATCCCATTTTATCGGCCCTAATTCCCAATCCCATTTTTACCAATCGCAACCCTAATCTCAATCCCATTTTATCGCCCCTAACCCAATCGATGAAATCGTTTAATTCTCAATCCCATTTCAAGCACGCTCATCGCTTCCTTCCCAAAGCGACGATTTCCAAATTGATTTTCTCAAAGATGTCGATTGAATTCAAGACCATATATCAATGCGGTTAGGGTTCTTTTCGCTTCTTAATGCGATCCATCATTCCCGATTCCATGTTGTTAGGTTTTTTCCATTC